AACTAAACTAACCCGACAGTGAGTCAGACTAACTAAACTAACCTGTCAGTGAGTCAAACTAACTAAACTAACCTGGCAGTGATTCAGACTAACTAAACTGACCCGACAGTGAGCCAGTAACTAAACTAAGCCTGGTTTATTTAGTACCTGGCCCATGTCTGCCCTAACACACCTGTGCTTGTGGCAGGTAAACGGCTGTTCTGTGCTGGTTAAGGCTCCTACAGGTGTGTCCACACTCTAAACACAGGCAGGTATTCACCACGTGACTCAACGCCGCCGCTCAGCTTAGAAACTAGGCGGTTTAAGGCCTGGTTCCTCGTTTCCGACACAGAAACAATCCAAAGACGGGTTTAGTCTTCCGAAGTGTAAACTAGTCTTCAGCTCCGGGCAGTGCTGGGTAACTGTGGTTCATGCTAACTGAAAGCACAGCCGTTCTAAGCGGAGAAAAGGCTCATAGCTGACAAACTCTGGCGATGACTAGCTACTAGCCCAGCCCACTATCGCCGCTAGCATGGGGATGCTAACGGGTTAATTGGTTACCTTTATTCGAATAAGTGCCGCCTGCTGTTTGACAAACAGGCCGAACTAGAGAGAGCCAGCCCGAACCTCACAGCCGACAGTCACGATCACTCCAAGTTTCATTCTCGGGTTTTTCTGAGCTACTTTGGTAAAAATGAAGGTTTTTGAATGGAGTTTGGATCACATCGGTCCAACTGAGCTAGCGGGGTAACCCTGGCTAACAGGCCCGACAGAACAGACACAGGTCCTGATGAAAACCCGGTGAGCCGAGTCAGAAACTCGGTGAGCACGTACCCATCCTGCACGCTGTCCGTCTGCCCGGTAAAAATCCCGTTAACGTGACGTTAGCTGCGGGTGCTAACGGCTAACAGTGTTTACAGTGCAGCTAACGGCGGCTCCGCCCCCTTCCCTTTAAAGAGACCGCCACGAAACAGGTCTGCGCCTGCGCAGAGCGGGGGGTCATTTGAACTCATGTGATGCAGTCGAGGAGGAAACAACAACAACGACAATAACGACAGTAATAATAATGAGGATGATGATCCTTTGTCTTTTGGTTCTTGCAGATGTTCCACCTTCAGCTGAGACGGGTCTTGAACAACTTCAGAACTCCTGACTGCAGTGACATCGTCACACCTAGAATATACTTCTGGTTTTCTGACCGCAGATTCTCCTTTAAGACACCTCCATTGTGTGTTTCAGTGAACAGATAATGTGGTTCAGGTGGTGCAGTGTCTTGTCCACCAGCGTCAGGGTTGGTGGTTCGATTCCCTCTACGTGGTAAAGTGCCTTTGGGCCAAGCTCTCAATCTGTCTCCGTATGATGTGGAAAAGAAAGAAGTCTGTTCTTAATGAGCTGTCAGAAGTTTTTCTGTTGTCATAGATCCATTTCTGAGAGTGTAAATGTGACACACTTTAGCCTGGTAAAATAAAGTGACTCTAACTAGGGATGGGGCCGATCCAATCCAGTACTGGTATCGGGTTCCGATCCAACCAGCGGATATTTCCGATCCATGACCATGTCTGTCTGCTGAAATGACTCCACAGGCAGCTCCCTGCTCGCTGGTTTATAGCTGCTGGCAGGTGAGTCTTCATCACAACACACCTGCTGTGTGGAAACGCTCTGCACTAGAAACACCACAGAGCAAGACGGCAACATGTGTGGCGCTGATCAGATGAAGCGGCCCGTGGTGTTTTATTTGGACGGGGTGGTGGTAGAGACGTTTACCCTTTGTGTGTATCCGTCTGGGATTTAATGAATATTGACAGTCAATCTGAAAGCTTACAGGTGCTTTGTTTTTTTCAGGATGAGATTTTTCCTGTTAACAGGATTTGCTGTTTGTCCGGCTTCCTTTCCTGACCTCACGCTTACCTGAAGTTGCCTTTCCAGACATATATGCATACCTTCATACATATACTGGCCTGTCGAGAGGAGTAGATAAAAATATAGATAAGATGAAGAAGAATGAAGATATTGATGCAAACAGAGTTCTGGTATTGGATTGGTATCAGCCGATATCCAAATTCAGGACGGGAAGTGAAACAATGTTGATCGGTGCAT